CTTTAAAAGAAGTGAGAAGTATACGCTTATCGCGTTATTGGATCATAAAGACATTTCATTTTTGAAATCTACTCAATAATTCGTAGATATGATCAAATAGTGGTTAAATGATTACCTTAGCGTTCAAAGTTGTATAATCGTAGAGGCACGGTACGGAATCTCCGCATTCCGAAATTATAGCTGCTGGATTATCCGGACACTGCGACATTCCGTAAGCTTCCGTGAGTTGGGATTGCATAGGTTGAACGTTGACTAAAAGGAAATTGTGACTTTTATCGTTGATCAAACTGGTAGTTCTCATCAGTTATTAACATCTTCCAGTCACGAATGTGTATTAAGAAGTAAGTTCCGGTTTCTAAATTATAGGAGAAGGGGAGGAAGGTTGAACTCACTGATGTTTTGTTGCTGAAGGTCGCGACATGTTTGTAATCTTTGATTGAGAGATTGACCTGTGATTGGATAGAACCGATAGCGTCCACTAAATGACATAGTTTGTCTTTGACTAAATTTGTAGCACATCCTTTGAGAAAGACCTACGATTCGTATTTTGGTGCTACTTTGTAGATAGGACCACTCTTCATTGACGCTTCAGGGAACACCTAAAAGACGAAAATAAGGGCTCATTAGAAGTGATAACAAGTCGCAACGATTGTGGAACTGCTATCGCACAAATTATAGCGAAATTAGATTGTTCCTGAACATACCTCAAACTTTTTATCCTCATCTCTGCTTGTGGTAAACATGTTCTCAGTTGGCATTCCGGCTTGATTAACGGACGATAGCGATTGCTCTGACCCGGGTTCTCCAGAACCCTGTACTCTGTCTAAAGAGAGAAAACCGTCGTTTTAGATAGCATTGAGCAAAATGCAACTAAACCGTACACATATTGATGATTTGTTGTCTATACGCCTCCGAGTTCACATCATTCAAAGTTAATGATTGCATGAAGCTGGCAGATGCCTGATCTGGGAACGGTCTCATCAATCCAGCTACTCTTGGTAGATTATATCTTTGTCGCATCTCTGCTTCCCTAGTTTTGTCTCCATCTGGGCGCTGTATCAATAATTCTTCGTAGCTGTTTAATAGTACGAAAACATGATGAATTTCTTACCACTCCGTACTGCGGAGGTACACTGATGGCAACATTCAGCAAACCCATACTCTCCTGATAGTTAGAGTAACGATCAACGTCGATGGCAAATGATTCCCTGACACGGATACCAATCTGTGCCTCCTCTAGCACTACATAGATTTCAGGCTGGCCTCGTTCGACATTGTTAACATAAATCAGCACTCCTAAACAGACACTATCCCGTTCGTCTACTAGCGAGCAGTTTGTGGAACCGTGCACTATGAGGAGAAAAGATTGAGAATTTTTACGAATTCTCACCTTTGAACCTCTGTATTCTCATAGTGTCGAAGTATCGCAAAATATTTCCAACAATGATACTTGTTCGGTATCGGAATCGCCTGGTATCCTTCCTTGTGACGACATGAACGCGATCAGTACCTGTGGCTTCAATGGCGACGCCTGTTATGACGGTTGTGTTTGTCGGCTGCACCAGGTCTTGTTGGGCCATTCCATGACCGAGTAGACCTGAACAAGACAATTGTAAGTTTAATACGTTATCACAAATTTACCTAGAAGTAGCAACAAAGCAAACACGAGACAATTTAGCAAGTAGCAAATTACGCAGCATCTTATCTGCTCTTAATTCTTCTTATTTTTGGAATTTGAAAGTGTGGTTCAGACAATGGCGTTCCCCAAATTATATATCTTTACTTACGCGTACTTGATGCAGCATTTACAGGTGTCCCAAGAAATATCATCATTGTTCGTTACAACATTTCGTTTTATTTCCAAATCTATTCTGAGCAACCATGGATCATAATGATGGGATAACTTGGACTTAGATTTCCAATAATAATGGATATGGCGCCTCATTCTAGGATTTCGTTTGAAACGCGTAAGTTTCTTTTGCGATGACATAAGTGTTATTTGCACTAGGCAAACTATAATTATAACAGCGCGATAACCTGTCTGGTGAGGTCTGGGCCCAAATATTAGAATCTTAATGGATTTTTGCGCTAATTTACAATGAGTCTTATGTCACCTAGAGCTACATACAAGTTCAAACCGTAACACTGACTTAATGGAAGAAAACATAAGATTCGTTCAGGGATGGCTGAGTTCAAATAATCCTCTAAAGTAAAACTATTAAGGGCAAAAAAGATTTGGAAATAAAAATGTTTTCAACAATTGTACAGCCCTCCATTTTATGGACGTACTGTATGTAAGGAGAGAGGAGGGGAGTGCCACTAAGACAAGGAGGCCAAAAAGCTCTCATGACTGTAATAAGGGTTTATGGGAAAGATAAGCCCATAGCGATGCATTAACAAAGTTAACCGCAAGCAATGAGGATGTTGCTTGTTACGATTAAAGAGATAGTTGCGCAATAAATTACTAGTTACAACTAAGGGTTCTGTCCATTAAAAAACAAAAATGCAGTTTATGACAAAATAACTAAGTAGACAATCTCTCTTTTTTTGCAGTTTATAACAGTTGTTACCCATAGGACTTTAGACAAAAAGTCACTGCTGATTGGGGGTAAGGTCAGGCGCAGTTTGAACAGTTAGAGGTAAAAAAAGTTCCAACAGGTAAGATGCGGTCAAACTTTGATTGAGGAAAGAGGGAATCCACAATTTTAGGCAATTTTTATAACTGGTAATAAGCATGTACGCGTAAGATTTCTTGGCTTAAAGATTATGATTAGTTTTCGGAATACTCACTAAAATCTACACG